TATAAGTTTCCGTTGACATTGAACTTGCATCCTGCAAGGAAAGTTTGTGCGTTTTTAAGCTTGACACAGGTTCCGTTATAGAGTCGTTCGACGTAACATCGCTCTATACTAACGTACAAAACAGTCAAGCTTTACAAGCGTTATCAGGATTGTTGGACAGATATGCTGATACCACAAACATGTTTGGACTTTGCAAAATGCGCACGATGACCCTGATCAGCGAGTGCTTGAAGTGCAACATCTTTAGATGGTCTGGGACTTACTACTCCCAGATACGTGGACTAGCTATGGGTCACAGACTAGCCCGATTCTCGCAATATTTCATGAGTAAAATTGAACAACCTGTGCTAGCTCGTACGCCTTTGATATACTGCCGTTACATCGACGATTGCTGTGTTATTACATCAACATAATCCAAAATGGATGAGTGTTTCAACATTTTGAACCAGCAATCGCAGTACATCAAATCACACGCGAAACACCACACGACGGTTGGTTGCCATATCTAAACGCACAAATAAAGTCATCCGATGGCATTGTTAAGGTAAAGTGGTACCGCAAGGAAAACTCTAAAAACATTCTTATAAATGTAAAGTCCGCACATCCTGCATCTGTGAAAGCGCGGTTATCGGAAATATGTTTAAGACGGCTATGCAGATGTCCTCCGGAGAGGAAGAACGCAGCGAATCACGGGAGCTACCTTCTCAAATCGTTTACAGTAACGGTTATCATAACTTTCCGCGTACTCGACGACCTAAAATTGATAACCGCATTCACGATTATAACAAACTCCCACTTTGCCTTCCCTTTATCTCAGATAAGATCAGCGCGGCGTTTCAACAATGTATTGTTCGAGCTCAACTGCAGAATGATGTTACTTTGGTCAACATCCTTAACCACAACATCAAAAGCAGCTGGTCAGAAACAGGCTCTACGACCGTTACTGTATTACAGAGCCATGCATAGTGTGCCCGCAAGGTAGAGTAGGGGACTGTGCAAAGTGGGAGCCGTATACCAAATTGAGCGCCTAAGCTGCAACGCATTATATGTTGGAGAAACTCGAAGAATGTTAAGTACTCGCATGAATGAACATCTGGCTGATAAAAGGCGTAAGAACATGGGCTCGCCGCTAGGCAGGCATAGAGAAATTCGGCATAGTGGAGAAGATTTCGATGTCAGTTGCAGATCCTTACGTACGAAACGGAGACCTTGGCTAGGAAAGCATTAGAAGCTTTCTGGATCTCTGCAAAGAATCCAGAAATCTATATATAAATAAAACTCAATCTCTGCAAATTTGTTTGTATGTAAGTATGTGGCTTATAGACTCTTTTGTTTGTGAACCGATGAGGCTGAAATTTGCTCCCCTTAAACAAGCCACGGCGCAAAAGATAGGCTACTTTTTGCGGCAAGTCACTAAGTCCTTCTATCGATTTATTGATTTGTTTACTTTCTTAGAGGAAAGTGAGAGCTTAAGAGATCATTTGCTCAGTAGAGTGTAAGGGAGCGGTACGTCTTATTTTAAGTTTTTGCAAGCAGAGAGCAGTGACAGCTAGCGCACTTCAAGTAGGCTTCCGGATGTATTTGAAAATAATGTATACATTCATATCGACTCAGACAATTCACGGGAGCTTCCCGAAAACAAGCCAATTTTGGCAAACTTCCCGAAGAACTCGTTTAACACAGAGGTGAATGGAAGCGCAAAAATGGGAGTTTCCCGAAAACTTTGACGTCAGGAGCAACGCAGTTAGGAACTTCCCGAGGATTTCTTCGGGAAGTATCTATAAATGCGAAACTTTCCAAAAGCTTTTAAGAAAAGGGAATTTTCCGAGAGCTTCGCGGTATTTCGTAATAGCGCTACTTTCATTCTAATGACTGAATTGTCGTAAAAAGTCACAGTGTCTTCATCAAACTTATGTAATGGTCAGTGCGATATCTGATTTAGCGCAAGTGCGGACTTCTAGTGTTTCTTTTCCATCGTCCTCTCGTTTTATTCTGTAAATTGACTGAATTCTCTTCTTTCCATGTGGCATTATTCAAATGTATTTGCATCACTTGTCGTTAAGGGTGAAGTGACCTCTTGCTTGTTACTTCGCACATCATAATTACCGTCCTCTGTCGCAGTGCGAGGTGTGAAGCTATGACCCAGAGCCAAAACAAGCAAATAGATGATCCGGCTATTGAATTACCTTAATATATGTGCGACCATCTATTGTACAGCTCTTTGCGAGTGCGGCTGTTATGATGCACCATGTAATAAGGAAATGACTCCTTTTGACTTTACATTTACTCATAAATTTTACGTGTTTCGAAATTCTTCTAAATGTGACTTTGTGCTGTTTTATATATAAAAAGGAAAATATGAATTTAGGCAGGTCTTTTTCAGCGTCTGATTCTCCTTGCTTTCTTTTCTGTATTTCGTAACAGTGCACTTGCGCTATTTCACTATACTGCTAGTCTGTCAATCTGTTATAGATGGTGAAAGTTTAGCAATTCAAATTGGAGTGTTATCTTAGGTAGTATTAGGTTGTCAAGAAAATAATGTCGTTTTTTATTTGCTTACTTTAACAAAGCAAGCAGACTCAATCCATTCAAGGGTAATGGGTATCGTTCGATAGAGCAAAGCAAGCTCTACAAGATGCCTCTCAAAATATTGCGCCAAGTTTGATCCACGGAAAGTTTGAACTCAAAATCTGAAGATTTCCAAATGCCCAAAAAATCGAAAAAAAATCAGATCTTCGTCCAAATAATTTCTACGGACCTCCCACTCGCACACATCAATACTTTCGATGACTGATATCCATATGTGCATCTGCCGTACTTTTTCCTTGACTAGAAACTGAGAAAACGAAAATTTTCGTGTTTTTCTAAAAGCGATGCTGAACCGTTCTTGCATATGTGATTCTATACTACAAGCCTAGGTAAGCATAACTGTAGATTTTCAGCCTATTTCGAGCGGTACTTTTCGAGAAATGTCGAAATCAGCTTTCTTCTTTTCAGTTTCAGTGCTAAAAGCAACATTTCTCGAAAACTACCGCTCGGAATAGGCTGAAAATCTATAGTTATACTTACTTAGGCTAGTAGTATAGAATCACATATGCAAGAACGGTTCAGCATCGCTTTTAGAAAAACACGAAAATTTTCGTTTTCTCAGTTTCTAGTCAAGGAAAAAGTACGGCAGATGCACATATGGATATCAGTCATCGAAAGTATTGATGTGTGCGAGTGGGAGGTCCGTAGAAATTATTTGGACGAAGATCTGATTTTTTCGATTTTTTGGGCATTTGGAAATCTTCAGATTTTGAGTTCAAACTTTCCGTGGATCAAACTTGGCGCAATATTATGAAAGGCATCTTGTAGAGCTTGCTTTGCTCTATCGAACGATATCCATTACCCTTGAATGGATTGAGTCTGATTGCTTTGTTAAAGCAAGCAAATAAAAAACGACATTATTTTCTTGACAACCTAATATTTAGATTCTGGTTCCTAGCTGAGTGGTTGTAATTTCGATCTTTTCTCCTCCTACTAGTGAAGCAGTTATGTGAAGGTGCTATATGTGCGTGCGCTTCGGGACCGCACCGCGGTTTCTCGCGATTTGATGATTTTCAAACTGCGCTTACGATTCTTTGCATATTAGATCTCTTCTTTCCTCTTTTCTAACGTGAATTTTTTCAGAGCAAGGGCATCAGCCGAATATAGTCGCGACGAACAAATAGTTCAAGGCTTCTACTTTGAGGGCACAAGTCGACTTTCAGGTGAGCGTGATTGCGCTTTATTTGACACTAGTTATGCTTCAACTCACTTCTATGATAATGTTTCTTTCTCTTTTTTGATTTAGCACTGCTTTTCTTTCTTTCTTTTCTTAAAGTTTCCTGTTTTCCTCTCTGATTTAGCACTGCTCTCTTGCTTTCTTTCCGAAGCTGTGCACATTAGAGATCACTAATGAGAATATACAATAATCTTTAAGCAAGAGTAATGAAGTTGTTCGAGGATCTTTTATTCACCTCCCATCTTTCCACTTTCTCTTTCACCCTCTATTCTCTTCACCCACATTCCGCTTCATGCAACCTACTAAGACATTTCGTATTTCACTCACATTTTTTGTTTATTTTATGGATTGAAATCTCTTCTTTGTGTCTATTTGGATTCTTGCCATGCACTACTTCGTAGTCACTATCAATTGTTGCCGCTGTTGCTGATGTTACCGCTGTATCCTTGTTACTGATGTTGCTGCTGTTACCTAATCATTGAAAACTTGTATGGAGAAATGAGACTTGATTGTTCGTTCCATCATCTAACAGCAGTAGCAGGGGTAGCAAATAACAGCAGCAGTAGTGGTTAACAACAGTAGCAACAGAACGTCGATAACAACTGACGATGGAAACGCTGCCTGCTAACAGCAGAAACAGCGCTTTTGTATGGTTGAAACTAAAGCAGTGATAAGTGTATTTTTGCACGATTGGTTTGGTGGAATCTTTTGCTACTCAAATTTATAGATCCATTAGGCTTTGGCCGAACTTTATCCGTGTTACCCATGTTACCGGTGTAACCTGTGTTACTAATGTTACTAGTGTTACTGCTTTTACCGCTTTTAGTGCTTTAAGTAGTGAAATGATCACAGATACAGGCTCATTCTAGAACGCGATCTCATTGACTAGTGGCGAGTGAGTAACACGGGTAATACGAGTAGCACTAGTAACAATGGTAATGCGAGTAAACGAGTAACACGGGTAAGACCAGTAACACGGTAACACGGGTAAAGTATGGCTAAAGCTCTAGCGGGAAGTTTTTGAGCCATTCTTTAATGTCAGCTCATATCAATTTTTAGTTGAATCGTACTGTCTCTCTCAACAACACACATTTCCATGAGCTTAAATTTGCCTGTACTAAGTGTGTAATTCTCATGGATATCCTCAGATCTGCTTTTTGTGAACAAGCGTAGTAATTTGTTTGCTTTTCAAATTCGCTACCTCATCCATCGATGTCCATCTCTCTTTTGCCGGATGCCGGATTTACAAGATCTGCCTGAGTCCATAGTTATCACACTCAACGGTACGAAACTAGTCATGTAAGAAATTCTCATTCAAATCATTCTTTAGATTTCGTATTGGATGCGCTTAGCCTCGGCAACGAGGATTTGGAGGGATACAGATTGAATTCGATAAGAAGCTTGCGCACTAGGTGCGTTGGTGTTTCGTAAGCAGTCTTTACTTACTCAAATGATTTAGTTACTGGATCTCTCTGGGTACATCCGATGAAGAACGCGAGAAAAAGTTCAACTATCTGCTGGAGCAAAAAACTTTCTACTGCGGCCAAATCAGGACCTGTATCGCAGAAGCACTGTAAGTTTTCCAGAATCGTCTTCTGCTTCTAAATTCAGTTTTACAGCGAGGATGTCCGTTATTATCGCCTCGACAAGGGAAAACTTGTGCCTTCAAAGGTTCAAACTTAGTCTCAGTTGTTTTTATACTAAAAATTTGTTTTCCAGAAATACAAGGCTACGCAGGTCGGATTTGGTAGAGAGGACAAGGCAAGTATGACGAAGTCAGAATGGAAGAGGAAAGCGCTACACAGTAGTGGAATTTGATCCCGTCGCTGTCCTGTTTGAACCTGATGTTTAATTTCTGATCCATCATAAGTCTTCTCATGTAACATCGTGCCTTTGCCTCATTAGTTAAGCATGTTTCTCATTAATCAGTGCTTCATTTACTTACTCCCCGCTTACCTCTATATTCACTACATGCTTACTTCATATCTCACTATCAATATGATACTCCTTACGCATTATCCGGGCTACTGTAATTCGATCTTTTAAGAACTTGAAGAAATTCTCCCATTCCCTCCGTCGATATGTTATATCTACTGCTATAACAATAAATGATGGAGCATATCTGTTTTTGCGTATAACTACTACTAGTGCTCCACCCTTACTACTACACTACTTTGAGTAGCTGTACTAAGGGTGCGGCTTTATGAAGTAGCAGGATTCATCATGAAGGTTCGGTACAGCTACGCGGAGCCAATGTGAAGCCCTCAGGAAGTTCTGTAGATAAGTTCTCGGGAGATTTCCCACTTCTTGCGAATTTCCCGAGGACTTTTTTGCAAACTTCCCGAGCGCTTCACGGGAACTTCCGCAGGTGACCCGAGGAAAGTTCCCTCACGGACCTCGGGAAGTTCCCATTGATTGTCTGAGGAGGTGTGTGTGTCCGTGTGTGTCTTTCAAGCTCATGAACGCCGCATATTTTTAAAAGCTTTTGCAAACGTTTGAGAAGAAGGTCTATGTGCAAATGAGCGCAAATGATTCGGTTGAAATATTACAAACAGCAACAAAAAGCCCTTACATTTTTAAAAATATTAGGTTGGCACATAAGTTTTGCAACTTTTCCCGTAACTTTTTTCCTAGTTCATGTAGCAGTCTCATTTTGTGGCATCATGTAGACCGTGATGTAAGCTGCAAGTCTGCGCAAACCGTTTGATTTTTGATAACGTAGTACAAAAAATCTAAGCATTTTTTGAAAACTGCTGAAAATTGAGGTTTCACGGTTTTTTGGCAAACATGAAGCCCTACGAAACCTGAATTGAACATATCAAGAAGCAATTATAGGCAGCATGTAGCTAAAAGTGGACAGATTGAAATCTGTAAAAAAGAAATGAAATTTAAACACAAATCAAGGTGGGGCGCCTTTGAGAAGTTGAACAAGTCAAATGCGTCAAGTTTTGAAGGCAGTTTGTCAATAACTAAGCTGCGAAAAGTCAGAATTCGTTATAACTTTGCACTATAGGGTAATCCTATGCGGTAAACACGAATATCATATTCAATTGTCGCTAAAATGAAATTCACCTTTTGATCTCACGAACGAGGCCTTTTCATGCGAAACGGATCTCATTTTTGTGATCAGCATGTCAAATAAGCCCTACAGGCCAAGTTTCAGCAAAATCTGAAGCATTCTAAAATTTTTCCCATAGTACCGTAAACCTACCGTAATCCTCACATAAGATGGTAAAATTCGGCAAAAATGTGTGCATTAGAAGCTTACATCATATTCCTTATATTGCCAAAAAATGAATGCGCTACGTTCAAATAGACAAAAGTTATATGAAAAATTGCATTACTTATGTGCCAACCTATTAGTATATTGAATGTCTCATAGCAGCAATGTATTGTCTTGAGTTGATAAGATGCGGAAAATGCTTTGAACTAGAATAAAAAATTTGAAATTGCAAAAACCCACTTTTACGCTTGCGGTGTCGGTAGACGACAAAAATTATATTTTCGGGTTCCATCAAATGAACGACGTGTGCGGGATTGTTAATGCAACCGGACAGAGGAAAGCATGATAAAAATGATCATCAATACTGTGATAGGTGATATGCTAGCCAGTTGCTTCCATTCCCAAAGCTTACAAGTACATTCATAGTTGTCGAACAATCTGATGAGAGACAAGCGCGATGGATTCTCCTTCCCAGCTACGAGCGAAGTTGTGCCTCGAGGTAAGCATCTATAACCTGAGTCGGGATGGGGAGTAGCAGTGCAGTAATTGTGCTGGCCACCAATGCAGCATACCTTATCTTCAGTGATCATTCCCGGGCTGGACCGGGCAGATCAGCTAGTGAACAATAAGAACGAGTGTCTATCAATAACTTCTGACTTCCTCCTGTTCGTATCGCTATGTGATCTGTAGCTGTAGATCATTTCTGAGTGTATCTACAGTACGATTCATTCGTCTGCCGCGACCATCTACTTCCGGTGCAGACTATTCTCGGAAAGCGGTGCTCTTCCGGTATGTCCTCTTGCGTTGACGTTTTATGTGGTTATGAGGTTGTGGGAATGTCGAGAACTGGCGGTTTTGGAGGTGTTTGGTGGGCTGGGATCGCAACTAACACTTGGAACCATTCAGGCCTCTGAGGAAGACGAAGGCGTCGAAACGTAGGACCGTGATTGGAAGAAGAATAAAACATCGTTTAACAAACCTGTTCGGCACAGAAGTAATCAGAAATACAACGAATGCTCAGGTTTTATGAAAACGGGACTTGAAAATTTCCTTATCTCCGACAATCTCTAGATGCGAGTTATTTTGATACCAGTGCGTCACCTGCTTCGCAGAGGCTCGCACTGGCTCTTCTATCTATATGCCATACTCATTTCCATAACATGGCATTGAAACATACCGCGCAATGCCCGCCTTCACGAATGATTCGTAAACAACTACTCATTCTTCAAGCTTTTTCGTGTAAGATCGGTATCTTGCGTGGATGGAACTTTGAAATATGAAGAACAAATGCAGAATTAAAACACTCCTAAGATTTTTCAATTCTTGGTAGTCGCCATAAGGATAATATCCACGGCGGGCTACATCCCTGCGCAAAAGTCTTCTCAAATGCTCAGGTAAAAACCTGGCAAATTGACCATTTACGCAAATATTTCGTTTTGGCGCCTTTCTCGTGGAGCAGTAGACTTCCATCACTTTTTTGGGCTGAAATCATGGCTTGCACATCACTTGGCAAATATAATCACGACTTTGCTATGAGTGGTAATACGGATTCAATATTGCGCGTTAGAAGTTAAGTGGATCCGTTTCGCGTGCAATTTTTGAGGGACCTACTCAATGGATCTGCTCGTGCTTTGGCATGGTGAATGTGGATGGTGGCAGCGCGTGTTGTGCAAAAAAATTGCGGCTTGAAACCTTGTCTGCGACTCATTCTGTGAATTTCGTTAGGCCCCGGACAGACTTCACGCGATTTGATCGTCGCGACTGAATATCGCGACGAGACAACTGTTACAACATCATTCCATGCCGATCAACTTGCATTTCGTGATACTTTTCCAGCCCAAAATTTTTGAATGTGAAATGAAAATGAATGGAAACGTCGGCGATTGAGTCGCGACGATCAAATCGCGTGAAGTCTGTCCGGGGCCTTACGGACACACGCAAAAACACGTAAACACCCTTAGCACGTTATTCTAAGTCATGATGCTTATCACGCGCAGCAGCCCAACCTTTGGTGCAAAATCGAACATGAACGAGTAGCTCTTCTTTACGAAAGCTCATTCAATGCTAAACGGTGGTTAAAATGCATTAAGGGCCGGGCATACTTGACGCGATTTCAGTCGCGACGCGATTTGGCAGCTCGCCAGAAGTCTTCATATTCAATACTAGCAAACTGCACATGCATAGTGTGTATAACTTACGTGGGTTGATGAAATGCCCTATCTTCTGTACATTCATGATGTGCTTACAGTGTGTTATGGACAGTTGGAATATTGCCAAATCGCGTCGCACTGAAGTCGCGTGAAGTATGCCGGCCCTTTATGCAGTTTCAGCACGCTTTAGGCCCCGGACAGACTTCATGCGACTCAATCGTCGCGATCTAATCGCCAAGATTTCCATTCATTTTCATTTCACATTCAAAAATTTCGGTCTGGAAAAGTATCACAACCGAATGCAAGTTGATCGGCATGGAATAATGTTGTAACAGTTGTCTTGTCGCGATTCAGTCGCGACGACGATCAAATCACGTGAAGTCTGCCCGGGGCCTTACACTGCTAGACAAAACAAGGTTTAAGCGAACTTACGATTATCCATGGCCTTATTATCAGTGAATGTAAACCTCATGAAGTAATTACCAGGGCACTGTATGGCAGGGTTCTGCGGAGGAGTATATTTGATCGCCTGACAGATAAGAGAGAATGCCGATTATGATTATTGAGCAACAATAAAAATCTTACTTTTGGATCTTTGTAACAATTCTCTTTAGAAGGACAAAGATTGGTATCGTACAGGTCGTTAGGGCATGGACGCTGACCTAAAGATAAAGCACTAATATCCATGCAACGGAGGATGCAGAAATTCGGTCCAAATTTCACGCGATTTGATTATCAAAATTAACACGTTGCGACTATGTTTTACTAAATTGTTTCAGTACTGAAATGCTGCAAATGTTTTTTTCAATTTCAGGTGGAAGCAATCTTTTCTCTCTTACCTGTCGTACCTTGGAATGATAGACTAAGAGTAAGAAGTGCAGTGTAAGCCAGGTTGAATGGAAGCATTTGCAGTCCCTATAAGATTATCCTTGGAATGACACTGTTCTGCAAAACCTATTCCAGCAAATGCTCGTTACAGCAATTTCTAGTGTTTCATAGTTCTAACGAGAGTCTTTCCGTGGAGCTGAGAATAATCAGACATTTGTTTCAAACTTAAGTTCTAATAAAGAATTTTTTGATTTTGTTTGCGAGTTAAAATCGCCTTTATCCACTGCAGACAGACTGCCCAGATTTTGATGCAATCCCATGCGCTACAGCAGACACGAAAAAAATTCAAACATTATACTACAGACAAGTCCTTCAAAACCACCAGCATCGTAAATACGGTCATTTTTGTTTCAAAGCAAAAAAGAGATTCAGCATGTAAGCTGCTGATCCTCCTGCCCACAAAATAGATTATGGAGAGTATTGACAAGGCACACATAAGGCAAACATTTGCTCTCTTGTGAAAGAGTTTTCGGAACTTAAGGGGCTCCGGTGGCATATTCGTGAATGACGAGCAACGATAGTATGAGAAGTCTATTGGCTGAATCACAGAGCAAAGGCAAAACCTGCATGTATTGGCGTCTTTTATGCAGATACAACATTGATTTATCTTAAGTGAGCGTATCGTGCATTTTGATAACCTCAGTCCATTTGTGGGCGCACTTGACAGTACATTGCTATTCCTCGGGTGTAGGCCCTTCTGAACCTGCCCCAATCGCGACGGCTATAAGAGGTCAGCGCTAATCAGAGGTCACTCCATCATTGGCTAGCTCGCGGGAGCGAGCGGCTGACCTGGGTAGATGCGCTGCGGAGGCGGACGAGTTTTACATCGCTGGTAACCTACTCCACAGATTCTGGAGGTAATTCTCTAGAAAATTCCTAAATTCCCCAAATTCCCTAGAATTCAATAACTTGAGTTATTCGCTCTACTCCACACTACTTAAATCGCCGGCCACTTTTGGTATGTTTTTGACCTACGAGACATTTTCAATGTCTTTTTCGACTTATTTTACTGTTTTTTTTTGGTTCGATTGCATACTCTACTCTCCTACGTCTGCCTCCTTGCAGCATCATCTAGTCACATTCAATTGAAATGTGCACTACATGCATGCCAGTAGGGAAGCACACGTTTTTTTATAATGAGTATGAAGTTTTTTTTACACCGTCCATATCAAAAACGCAATCAGATAAAAATGCATCACCTTCATTTGGTAGCGTGATCTACATGGGTTGATTTTGGTAGCGACCTTTTGTTTGCTGCACGCATCATGCTTTTTATAGCGTAAGAATTTCAAATGCACGTTCGTAAATTTTACTAGGAATGAGAATTTTGAGGAGATGTTAATTTTCTTGGAAAGCTACAGAGATGCACTGAAGTGTCAGAAGGAAATACGCATTTGATAACGAATTAGCGTAGATCACCAAATTGAGTTATAATTGGCCTTTAAAAAGAGTTGTTACACAAACTTTGATTACGTGGGCTTTCCTCAATAACATCAAGCAGCTCACATTAGCAATATGATGTGACAATGCACGACGTTATAAGGATCGCACACACAAGGGATATAAGTGGAAAAAAAGCAAAAAAAAAACAGAGTTCGAAAGAATTCAAAGGAGATTCACGAGAAGCTTTTTTCATGGATCATGGAAATGAAAAGACCTCGAAAATGTCCCATAAATCATAAACATACCTGCTGGGAAGTAGGGCTCAGAATACCAAACATTCAGAGGATGGTACTGTGCGTTGAACTCAGCGTGACTGGCTTGCATTCCATAATGCAAGAGCCGCACGAAAGGAGTTGGTGATTTTCGAAAATACGAGCCCTTCGCGGAGCACTCGTCCGCAGTCATCGCAGCGCATGCGCGCGCGTCCTAGTTCTGGATTACTGTAGGGGACGGTGGGTTCAGAAGGGCCGTCTCCCCTATTCCTCCAATCACATAACGTTTGACAGTTTGAGCATATAAATGAGTGACAGCCTGGCGATATATTTCTAAAACATTGAGCACGTCATCATCGATAATGCCGAATGTTCGGCTGATAATGCTAGATAGAAGCAGAATAACTGATAATCAGAGATTACAGACTAAAGATGGAATTTTGCAAGAATTTTCTTGTGAAAAGGAGTTACACTCAATTTTTATTAAAGTGAAGGATTTTGAGAAACTTTGTGCCGTGGAAGGGTCATTATCATACACCCATTTGCTTTCATATTGTACATCGAAAGTAGGCTCCTTGCAATTCTCAAACAACGAGAGATGTAGTTAAAAATAAGAGAAATTAGTTCCTGATCAATCAGCAATTCTTAACGATTCTCAGTCGAAACAATCGACATTTCTTATCAAGTAAGCGAACGATGATTGAAGTAGACGTTGATGTACTTGTATTGCTTACAACAACCCAATTTCTTTTTGCCTTAAGAATCAAAAAAGTACAATGGGATCAGTTATTAGTATTCTAAGGTCGATTTATCCGTGTTCTTTGAACAATGAGAGGGCTTGAGACAAGAAAAACAGAGTTTTATGGTGTGAAGGATGTTCCAGTCATAATATGTTTCGTTCCGCTATCAAAGTTCGGATATCGCAAATTGCATTCAAATCACTGGAAAAGCCATACCGGTTGGCAATCTCTAACGTATTCCACTGCATCACAATCCCATGAATTCCGCAAGACCTGAGAATCTTGCAACATGTCGTAATTTTCCAAAATCTTATGCAATTTCCATTTTGGGGCTTTTTTCTTCGCACCGAAATAAGGCATGAAAGGCAAATTGGCTGTACGCCTTATAGAATAAGCTCAAGCTCTGCATGAAATGTTGTCATTGTTTCCCTATGTCAGAGTCTAACCGGGCTCTATTTCCAACGGTATGGTAATTGCTTGAACCGTAGGAACGATTATGCCTTACGACGTTAGCGCTGAGGCGGTGTAGTAGTGCCGCAATCACAGATGACTTTATTTGTGTGTTTTTGAAAATCATTACTTGCCTGACGCCGCGCGAAATATCGACCAAATTTTTAGCTGCAGGTGAATATCTTAGTTTTATCTTGATTAGCTTTTTTTGACCGTACAAACTACGCCATTCGCGCGAGGGTAATGCTGTTAGAGCACTTCCGTACACCGCCGTCGCGCGCGGCACTTCCTTTCGTAGCTTTCGACGCAAAAAAACGATAAAAGCTTGCCGCGTGGCCGCGTGTTTGGTCAGGGCACTTTGGGTGATCACTGACACTTTCCTGCTAAAGGGCCATTCCACAACTTTCAAGCAATTGGTAGATGACTCATCGCCCGAACAGAGCTACATTCAATGTGCTAATGAGAGAGTGGTCGGTGGTCAAAGCAGCCATTTCACACAAGTCGCATAAGATTGTGCACTTTAGGACGCTGACTCTGATTCTTTCCTCCACATCTCCTGAATCTTTGTGCACAAAGTTATAATCCATTCTATCGGAAAAGAGGTGCTTGCCATATAGAGCCGTGTCTGGCTCAGTTCCGACCACAACTTGTACTTAAATTATGTTAAACATGCCATATCCAAAAGTAAGCCAAAGAGGCAATAATGTGCCTAACCTCGCATTTTGTATGTGCAATCCCTTGCATCAAATCTGCCCATAATTTTGTTCACACAACGGCTTTACCAGGAATGGAAGACAGATTTGAAGTTAGCGTTTTATGCCGCACTCAATAGTATGCAGTTGTTTGGACTGATTACTTCGACTTCTTTCCCATTCCTAGCTGTTTTCCATACAGGATTGAAGGACGCGTTAGGTTGAGTTAGTTTTTCCAAATGATTGTCTATTTATAATAATATGAATAAAGGAAATTCATTCTTGAGGACAAATATTTCGATGATATTATATTTATATTACTAGCTGGCTTACCCGGCTCCGCCGTATGTTCCGAATAGAAAATTCCATTTCTTAACCGATCCGGACCAAACTTGGCACACATACACTTCGGGCCCCGGCGGGTGTCACAATCCACTTTTCGTTATCGATCGATGTCGATTTTATCGATTTTTTGCAAAATTTGAGCTAGAGGGCTGAAATTTATTATCGAGCCTGAAGATTCATTTATTTATCGAGCATGCTGATCACCCCCCGTGGGGTGATCAGCATGCTCGATTACCCCCCCTCCCTGTGCCAAATTTCAGCCCCCTAGCTCAAATTTTGCAAAAAATCGATAAAATCGATATCGATCGATGACGAAAAGTAGCCTATACAGACATACAGACATACAGACAGACAGACAGACAAACAGACATTCAGCTTTATATATAAGATTCCTTGTGTACCTTCACCTGCGGAACCAACAGACAAAACACCTGCATGTAGCGATACAAGTCATTAGGATTTCATAACTCTTTACTTTTGCGTAACATGTTATAGTGAAATTTTGAAAAGTTGAGGTTTCACATGCGCTTTGGGTAGCAGACCATGTGACGGATAGGGAGCTTTTTCGCTTTAGTCCATGCCATTCTCCATTCACCATTTTCGCATTTGATAAATTTCCAATCACGTTTTACTATCACTGCAAAAGTTCAGTTCAATACACGGAAAAGTGGACACTTGGTGCAAAAAATTCCGACACAGATTGTACTGTCTCTTGAACTAATATGCCATAGTGGCTGCGGGAAGTTTCTCACCCTAGCATTTTTCTTCTCACCTTCACTCAGGTGCCATATTCTCGCACCTAACAATAAGTGAAGTCCTGTCAAGCACATTCGGACTCGCTATATTTCGAGCTCCTTAGGATAGTATGACATGGGCATTGCAAGCCCCACTCTCCCCCCCCCCCCCCCACCCCTCCCCCCTCCCTTAGCTCAGATGCTGGAACTGAAGATTCAAAGAAAGTTTTTCAAAATCAAAGTTCAGGGGCGAAATTGTTATGATCAAGACCAAATTCCGGATTCAGGGGTTTCGAGGCTGATCTTTCCAGCAGCGAAAGTTATTTGTTGAAAAGTCAAGATTTAGCACCGATAACTCTTAACGCAGATCAAAATTTAGATCTATTGGTTTTCTAAATCTCTTTTTCAAAAGAGACCAAAATTCAGGCTTACGGACTCTATTG